CTCATGTTCCCTGGACTGTCACATCCCTCTAGTGCCAAGCTTGGTGGCTGGGGGGAACCAATTCCGGCCGCAGTCCTTCGACACCTCGGACTGGTGTGTTCAGTGCCAGATGCCCTTGGTGCCAGCCTCGTGCTTCCTGCCCTGGCCGGGCCCAGGGCCTGCCACTGTCCACATGGCCCATCCTGTTACTAGAGAGAACAAATTCCAAGCAAACATCCACCCTGACTCCCAGAGGCCCCTCCAGGCGGGTGGCAGCACTTCAACTTACCTCTGGTCACCTCCTTGGGCTGCTGGCCCTCCTCCCTTCCTCGCTGTCTGCGGAGCGGTTCCTGTGACAGGCGGTGCAGGTGTTACGGGGCGGTGCAGGTGTTACCGGGCAGTGCAGGTGTTACCGGGCGGCGCAGGTGTTACCGGGCGGCGCAGGTGTTACCGGGCGGCGCAGGTGTTACCGGGCGGCGCAGGTGTTACCGGGCGGCGCAGGTGTTACCGGGCGGTGCTGGTGTTACCGGGCGGCGCTGGTGTTACCCGGCAGTGTGCCTCTTCCCTACTCCTCCTCACACCTCCTTTCTCTCCCGTCTTTCTTTCTTTCTTTTTAAAGATTTTTTCAGAGTTTTAGAGAGGGAAGGAAGGAGGAGGGGGGAGAGAGAGAAGCATCGATGTGAGAGAGAAACATCAGCTGCCTCCTGCACACCGCGAATCCAGCCAGCAACCTGGCATGTGCCTTGATCGGGAATCCAAGGGCAACCTTCTGGTGCACGGGGAGGATGCCCCAACCAACTGAGCCACCCGGCCAGGGCCCACCGTCCTTCTTGCCTCAGAGAAAGAAGTGCTTCCAAACTGTTCCTCCCAGAAAGAACTAATCAACAGTGACAGAAGTCCAAAAAGTGAGTACCTGGAGGGCAGAATTATAGTCTTAGAAGGGGCATGAGGAACCTTCTGGAAATATCCCTGGAGCTGGGGTAGTTACATGGGTGTGTATATGTGTGAAGAGTGGTTGAGCTGTACATTAACATTAATGCATTTTAAGCCCTCAATTTAAAAGGTAGATGCCACAGAAAGCTCTAAAAGCAGAAGCAAAATAAAGGACAAAGACAAAAACTGCAACAAAAGTTTGGAGTCATAGGGACCTGCCTGAAAATCTGGCTGTTTTCGAGCTCTGTGACCTTAGGTGAGTTACTTAAACTCTCTGAACTTCTTTCTTTCTTTCTTTCTCTTTCTTTCTCTTTCTTTCTTTCTTTCTTTCTTTCTTTCTTTCTTTCTTTCTTTCTTTCTTCTCTCTCTCTCTCTCTCTCTCTCTCTCTCTCTCTCTCACTCTCTCTCTCTCCTCACCTGAGGATATACATTAATCTTCAAATAGAGCTGGAGGGAGGGAGGGAGGGAGGGAGGGAGAGGGAGAGAGAGAGAGAGACAGACATCGATGTGAGAGAGACACATTGACTGGGCCACATGCATGACCCCCAACCAGGGCTGGGGACGAACTGCAACCGAGGTATGTGCCCTTGGCCGGAATCGAACCCGCGACTCATTGGTCTGTGGGTGACGCTCTTACCACTGAGCCAAACCGGCCAGAACTGAACTTCACCTTTCTTATTGAGATGTGGACTGTGAGGATTAGAAACACTGCTTTTTATAAAAAGTATTTGGCATAGGCTGGCTCCCACTGGGTACTCAATACATACTCATTTTCATTATTATTACAACCAGTTGGCCCTACAAGGACAGATGTGGGAGTGGTCTTCCCTGAGTGCAGGCAATAAAAGGAGCGTGTTGTCTACAGAAAATGTAAAGATAAAATAAAACTGAGGTGGAGTCATTCTGCTTTCTGTTATCACCATGCACTGGCAAATCTAAATGATGTCAGTCATGATGTGCTGTTCCGAAAAAATCTTTTTTTGCTCTAAGTTCTAGACAACTGATATGGTAACTATTGAATATTATTAATGTATATGTAAGCTTAGAATTAGCATGTTTTAATTTCTTGTCCTTTAATAAACATATTCTACATGGAGGTTAATTTGGAGAATTTCTAAGAGTATGGTTGCCCCCAGCCCACATGAACTCAGGAACACATTCTTTGAGAAAGTTCCTAATGGTTTGGAACTCGTTGTGCTTGCTTTAAGGACAGTTCCTGTCCCCAGGACCATGGTGTTACATATTTCTGCCTCTCAGCAGCAGATCCAAAGAAACAATGACCGTAGAGTAATGGCAAAGACGAAGAAACGGGTTTTTCAATCCTATCATTCTCTGTGATTAGCTGGTGTTCTGACTGGTGTTTAAAATGTAAAACAATGAGCCCTGGCCAGTTTGGCTCAGCGGTTAGAGCGTTGGCCTGTGGTCCGGAGAGACCCGGGTTCGGTTCCCGCTAAGGGCACGTACTTCGGTTGCAGTTTGTCCCCCGCCCTGGTTGGTCGTGCGGGTGGCAGCCACTTGATGTGTCCCTTCACGTCGATGTTTCTCTCTCTCTCTCCTTCCTCTCTCTCCCTCCCACTCTATCTGTACAAAAAATGGAAAAATATCCTCAGGTGAGGATAAAAATAAATAAATAAATAAATAAAATGTAAAACAATGAGAAAGTATGAACTGTGGAGACGGAGGACTGTGTTCAGTAAGTGTAGATTCTAGTTTACACGTGAAATACATTTGTTTCATCTCATGATTGTTACTGAAAATAGTTTTGTTGTATAAAGAAGGGCGAGGGTGCTAAAAAGTGATCTACTTCTGGGTATAAAATACCCTAGGCATATCTCTGACGGAAATGTAAGAATTTATCAGTCAATCGTTAATCAACCAGTCAGTCATTGATCTCTTCGTGCCTCCAAGTCTATGGACTTCCTACCCCTAGTCACTTCCTCTAGCCATAAATGGGCAAGTCCTGCATTTTCATCTTCATCCTTGTGAACTCGAGAGAAAAAGACACATACTAAAATGGGCCCCTGGTGGCTAACTGGGCTCAAATAAATGTAACAAACAAACAAAAACTAAAAGACCTAGCAGCCATTTCTGCACAGGGGCCTCTCCCACATTTCAGAAAGCTGCTCTGTACTGCCTGCCTCTGCACCATGTTTCTGAGCCAGCCCCTACAAAGGGGTTCCTGGCATCCTCTTTCAACCACCAGGACGGAGGCTTTTCCCATCCAATCGGAGCTGTGCAGCTCCAGCCAGTCAGAGTGGTTCTATTCTAACCAATCAAGACAGTGACTTTTGGACCAATCAAACTGCAAGGATTTGGAGTCTTCATTTGCATGAGGACAAACCAATCAGGGACCAGGGGTAGGGACTCCTGTCCATGTAATCCAGCTCTCCTCCAACTCAGAGAGTGTAATTTCCCTTTCTACCAAAGAATGAAGACCAGCTCTTCCTGGCTGAGCTGAAACACCCAGGATGTCTTCCCGGAGCAGGGAGAAGCAGGAGCTGTCTAGCCGAAGAGAAGCCTGGCCCCCCTGGGCTGCTGGGCCCAGGGCTAGTCCTGCTGAGTTGCAATTGAGCTGCTTTGCACTGAATAAAGTTCCTTTCTTCACTGCACCCCAAATTGGGGGTTTCTGTTGGCATGGAATTGGCGCCACAGCCATCAGTTAACATCCTCCATCCTCATCATCTTCTTCTCCTAAGTCAGCCACCAGCACGGTATCTCCCATCTGCTGAACACTCCCTCAGTCTGACACCTACATCAAGTCCCTTTTCTTTCTCACTAGCTGCCCATTCTGGAACCCTCTGCTGTTCAGCTCCCTCCCTTTGAGGTTTGGGGTACTGATGGAGATTTTGGGGACCAATGGCTTCCCCAGCCACTCCTTGAAATCACCTCTATGATCTTTGCCAGCCCTGGCCAGTTTGGCTCAGCGGTTAGATCGTCAGCCCACGGACCAAAGAGTTGCAGGTTCGATTCTGGTCAAGGGCACTTACCTCAGTTAGAGTTCGGTCCCCAGCCCCAGTTGGGGTCGTGCGGGAGGCAACCAGTGGATGTGTCTCTCTCACATCGATGTTTTTCTCTCTCTCTCCCCTCCCACTCTGTCTGAAAATAAATGGAAAAATTTCCTCGAATGAGGATTAAAAAAAAAAAAAAAATACGATCTTTGCCAAAGTCTAGGGTCAAAGCTCATGTCTTGACATCCCCCACCCCAGTGGCTGGAATGTTGTTGATTTCCCCCCAAATACTGACGGCTTGAGTCGGGGCCTCTTTCGCAGTAGGTACACCACCACTCCGTCCTCCCAGGCAGCTCGGGCACCTCTGGCTCCCAGCGTGGGCAGAGCTGTCATGCTCTCGCCCACCTCTCGGCATATGCACGTGCTGTTCCCCTGCCTGGAACACTCTGCCCTCTGACCCCATCTCTCCTTGGCCCCCTGAAAAGGCACCTTCTTCAGAAAGCTGCCCTGCACCCCGAGTCTTAACAAGGACCCCTCCTCAGGGTGCCCAGAAACTGCGCCTGTTTTCTCACTGTCATCCCTGCTCTGGCTTTGCCCTGAAGTGGCCTGTGCGTCCATCCCCTGCAGGGCCCTCAGAGCCGGCCGGGCGACGTGAACTGGATTCGGCTCTTCCAGATCCCCTGGCGGTGCCAGCGAGCGCCGGCACGCAGTAGGTCCGCCTGTGTGGGCTCATCCGCCGGCCGCCTCCGGGGCCCAGAAAGCAAGCCCCGGGGAGGCCTCTTGTTGCCAAAAGCAAACAGGCCGCCAGGGAAGTTTTGCTCTGGGTCACACCCGCCTCTGGGTGGCTGCCAGTCCTCCTGCCAGAAACCGCAGGCCCTCCGAAGCTGCCCAGAGACCGGGCCACAGGGCTTAGGAGGACTCGGGTCAGCTCTGCTAAGGGGGTGTCTGCCCAGTACTTCCTGGATCCGCAGCCCCCCGGGGTTGGGCAGGGGGTCTGGGCAGGGCTGCAGCAGCTACAGCCAAGGCTTGGGAAGGCCCTCTCGGGCTGGGAGGAGCTACCAAGGCCGCTGCCAGCCTGTCACAGGCTCTCAGTGCTGACATTGGCTCTGGCTTTCACACACACACACACACACACACTGGCAGGCACCCCCTTGGTGGCCTCCACGGTCTCACCTTCAGGTAAATGGGCTCATCGGTGGGAGGCTGAGGAAGGGGAGAGGAGCAAGGAATGCAAAGACCAGTGTGCATGTGAATGTACGTGAGTGTGTGTGTGAGTGTGAGTGCATGTGTGTGTGTGTGTGCCTGGGAGTGACCTCACAGCCTCCGGAACATAAAGACTTACAGGTCCTGCCTCCCAGGCTCAAAGCTGGCTCCGTGGGGGACACAGTGACATGAGAGGCATACCACAGACCCACCTCCTGGCCTTCTCCTTCCTCTGCCTCCTCTCAAAGGTAAGGGGGTCCCTGGGGCCCCGAAACATACTGCTGGCTTCCATGCTGCTGGGGGAGGTGTGAAATCACTGACAAGGACCCCTGGAAGGATCTCTGCAGGGTCCCTGTGTTGGGCACAGCCAGGTTTCCCTCCTTGGTGCCCAGACAGCTGTCTCTGGCCAGCTCTGCTATGTGACCTCAGGCCAGTCCCTTCTCCTCTCTGAGCCTCAGCTCCTTCCTTGGTTAAATGGGCACAATGTCCATGAGGTCTTTGTGAAGATCCTTTCTGTTCTGGCACATGGCAGAAGTCCAAAAGAGGCCTTTTCTGAGTCTTGCCAATCCCCACAACCCTCTACAAGGCAGAAGTGGGTATCCTTACAAATGAGACTCAAGATATGACCTGGTTTGCCTAACTCTGAGCTGGGATTGGAATGGATGTTGGTGTCTAATTCACTGGAAAGTTCATGCTGCAAGGGCATCCATGCTGTCGGGCCCTCAGGCAGTGAGTTACCTGCTAACCTTAGCTAGAGGGGACAGGGAGACACCTCCATAATGACCTTCTCTTATGGAACATTTTTCAAAGGGCTTGTGGAATGTCTACCTTGTTTAACATGCCCAGCAACCATATCAGGTATTCTTAGCCAATCTTCAGTCAAGTAAGGCTCAGAGAGGGTAAGCAAGTTGCCCAAAGCCACACAGTAAAGAAACATCAGAGCAATAGAGGAGGTGGAGCCCAGGATAGGCCTGCGTGTGTGGAGCTGGGGCTGGGACTTCAGTTTGTACCTCTCCACTTCCAACCTGGACCATGGACAGTTGCTGGGCCCTGTCATCCCCGTAGCAAATGTTGAGTTCCCAGTCCCATGGGGATGGGCCCCGCCCTAAGCCACGATCTCACTGTATTTTCATGGTCCTTTGAGGAGCCTCAGCAGGAGTTTCTCCCTCCTGATCTCAAGCAGTAGTGCAGGGAAGGCCGAGAACCCTGCTAGCACCCGAGTCCTGCTGGCGGTTCTGCCAAAGGGAATGGGCAGCGCACCATGCCAGGGTGGGTGGCTGGGGTCGTTGGAGCAGGGGACTTGGGTTTGGGGCCCAGGATTAAATGAAAGAGCAAAATGAAGCCGCCCTCGACTTGCTGTTCTGCCGTCATTCTTCCCGGGTCCCAGGGAGCCAGGCAGCGTCCTGCACAGAACCCCGGGACTTTGTCGTCACCAACATGGAAAGCCACCACAGTCCTCAGAGACAGAATGCCATGTCCTCCGGGCAGGTGGGCTCCTGGGCTCAGGGCTCTGGTCAGAGGTCAGGGGCAGAGACCTGGAAACAAGCAGTCACATTGACCGAGAGCTGGCCACGACCTCACTACTCCACGAGAGGTGGTCTCCTCCCCATTTTACTGAGGAGGAAACAGCTCCGTCCCCACCGAGCAGTTCAGTGAAGTGCTCAAAGTCACACAGCAAGCCAGTGGTAGAACTTAGAGTTCAACTCTTGCCCAGAAGATTCCATGTCCAGGGCTCTTACCACAGAGCCTTGCCCCCTGGTGGCCACAGCAAGGGTCTGAGGAAACAGTGGGTGTGATGGGGCAACTTGAACAGAGGGATGGGTGGTAAGGAGGGTGTGGAGATTGAGGGACACCACGGAGGGCACATCTCTCCTTGGCTATGCGGAAATGCCCTCCCCAACTCGTCATTATCCCTCTTGAATAAATGAATAAACTGAGGCAGCGGCTAAGCTGGCACCCCAGCCCCCAGAGAAGAAGAGGTGAGCATGGCAATTAGGAGCCTGGGCCTTGAATTCCCAGGAAGCTGGATTCCAGTCCTGGCTCTGCTTCTTACTGGAGCTGTTGCTACATGGCCTTGGGCTTCGGTTTTGTCATCTTTAAATTTTTTAAAATTGATTTTTAGAGAATGAGGAAGGGAGAGGGAGAGAGAGAAATATCCATCGGCTGCCTCCTGCACAGCCCCACTGGGGATGGAGCGCACAACCCGGGCGTGTGCCCTGACCGAGAATCGAACCGGCAACCTTTCGGTGCATGGGATGCCGCTCAAGCAACTGAGCCACACCAGCCAGGGCAGTTTCCTCATCTTTCAAATGGACATAATGACAGTACCTGACATTAGAGGGTTAAACTAGACAATACATTAAAGGGCTTAGCACCTGGTACGCCCATGGTAAACACTAGCCATAATCATTGACATCATTAGTAGCCTCTCCTGGGTATCAGGACCTACAGTCCAGTCCCTGCCAAACTTGCCTGATAGAAAGAGCCCAGAATGGGAAGCCAGGTGCAAAGCAGAAGGCCTGTGTCCTGGCACCCCTGCTTTTAGGTGGGAGGAATCCAAGAGCCAGTTCTGGAGGCAGAGTCCCCCACTTCCCTCAAGAGGCCCCAGCACACAGCTGCACACTTGTATCCATTACCAGTGTCATTTTAGATGGCAGCTCTGTGAGGGCCTCCTGCTCGGAGACCTCATCAGAAGCTGGTCTGTTTGGGGATCCCCTCGTGGCCAGGGTGGGAACTGCAAGCCACAGGAGGCATGTTTGCAGACTTGGGGATCCTAGGGATGGAACTAGGTGGGAATCGGGGCAATGAGTTGTTATTGCCTGCTTGGGGCCACAGAGAGGATATGAGGGCATTGGCTTCATCTTCCTAGACTGCAAGGCTTCTATCCACTAGATAAAACCCCCAGTCCCGCAAGTCCTCCACGGATGGCGCCAGTGGGGATATCTTGAATTATGCCTACCTCTTGGTCCCCACCTCCAACTGGACATACAGGGGGCCGGTGGCATCTGGTTTCTGGTTTGGTTGTTTCTCTGTTCTGAGCGGGGAGGGGCAGTCAGGACATTTGAGCTGATACCTTGACTCTGCCCCCAGGGCGTGGGTGCCTGGCTCAGATTTCCCCCTATTACAGGAAACATCAACCCCTCGCCCGGGACCCTGGGTCCTCAGTGCAGAAGCAGGCGCCCAGCTCTGTAGCTAACACACTGTGGCTTCTGGCGAGTCCCTTCCCATCTCTGATGCTCAGGTGCCCCATCTGTACATGGGGGGGGGGGGGGCTTGTACTGGAGCAGAGGTGCAAAGACCTGACTGTGCATCAGAAGCCCCTGAACAGCCTGTTAAACATTCAGACCCAGGGCCCTGCCTCTGGACGTTCTGATTTGGTAAGTGTCAGAGGAGGCCTACAGGCCCGTATTCTACCACGTTTCCTGGTTGACTCGATACTCATCCAGAAACATATTCCGAATTGTTCTAAAGATCATAAATCTCCATGATACTGTTTGATTTATTCAGCCCTCAAGATAAGTATCTACAGTCCACCTGCTGGAAAATGTATAGGACCCTGTGGTTTTAATCCTTCATTTTGCTGCTTTTGCCTTTTATAAGCTCCCAGAGGACAGGGCCAAAGCCCTTACTGTAGTTTGCAATGATGATCATCACAGCTAAATGCATTGAGCATCGGCTGCACCCCAGGCTGTGCTAAGGGTTTAACACGCATCATTTCATGTGCTACCCAAGACAGTGCTCTGAATTAGATACTGCTGTTACCCACCCACCCCCGCCTTTATAAAAGCATTTATTTATTATATATTTTTTAATCCTCACCCGAGGATATTTTCCCATTGATTTTTAGATAGAGTGGGTGTGAGAGAGACACATTGTTTGTTTGCCTCCCGCACAACCTGACCAGGGTTGGGGATCAAACCTGCAACCCAGGTATGTGCCCTTGACTGGAAATTGAACCTGTGCCCTTCAGTCCTTGGGCCGACACTCTAACCACTGTGCTGACCATCCAGGACCTATTGGCCCCTTTTTACAAATGAGGATATTGAGGCTCAGAGAGCTTAAGTAACTTGCCCAAAGTCACTCAGCTAATAAGGGACAGAGTTAGGGCTGGAACTCTAGTCCAGAGTCCCTGCTCTTGACCACAGTGACTACCATGGGACTGCCAGGGTTCAAGGCTAGGTATGTGCGATCCTGGGGCCAAGGTGTGGACTCTACACTGCCCAGCCCGGCAGAGAGGTGGCCCACTGGGAGGGTCTCACTGCCCACCTTGAATGACCATGGCTGAGTGAGGTCTCTGTCTCTGCAGGTGTGTGCCCAGCTGTGCCCAACACCGTGTGCCTGCCCCTGGCCACCACCCCAATGCCCAGTGGGGGTGCCCCTGGTGCTGGACGGCTGCAACTGCTGCCGGGTATGTGCACGGCGGCTCGGGGAGCCCTGCGACCATCTCCACGTCTGTGACCCCAGCCAGGACCTGGTCTGCCAGCTCGGGGCGGGCCCTGGTGGCCAGGGGTCCGTGTGCCTCTGTAAGCAGGTTTGCGGGACCGATGGAGGGTGTGGTTGGAGGGGAGGGGTGGGCAAGGCCTTGGTGTCCTCAGTCAAAGGTAAGCCCTTCTCTACCTTTTACACTCACTTCAGGTACATCATTCATTTCAGCTAAACCTGGCGACCCTGCTTCTCCCTCCTGTGTTTACTATGACCATGCCACCATCCGAACAGCCTTTCCCCGATCCTATCTGTCCAAATCATAGCCAACTTGCAAAGCCAAACTCAACACCTCCTCCAAGGAGCCCTCCAAGATTCTTCTAACCAGAAGTTATCACTCCCTTCTCGGGACCCTCACAGTACTTTTGGGAAAATAAAAGTGCAATTCCTTATTTAGGGCCTAGTATATGGTAGTCACTGTACTTAGCATTTACTCCATAAATCACATAATCCTATGAGGTAAGTGCTTTCAGACCCATTCATAGATCAGGAAACTGAGGCTCATAGATATAACTGACATGTTTTATATCCCACAGCTCGGAACCTGGTCCAACAGGCTCTGAAGCAACATTCTGTCCGTCTTCCTCCTTGATCCAGAGCCCATAGTTCTGAGTTTGCATTTACCAGACCTGAGCATCTTCCATCATCCACCGCCACTCTTTAGGCCTCGGGGCTTTAGATCAGGTCCTCTCGGGACCTTTGGGACCAGATCATTCTTGTTGTGGGGGCTGTGCTGTGCTTGGAAGGACATTTAGCAGTGTCCCTGGTTCCTACCCACTAGATGCCAGTGGTACCCTCACCCCCAAGTTATGACAGTCTGTCCTCAGATGTTGCTGAATGTCCCCTGGGGAGAAAATCATCTTCAATTGAGAACCACTATTTTAGAGAAATAGACAAAAACAAGGAAGTGTTCTTTCCTCCCTCCCTTTCTCTCCTCCCTCCTTCTCTCTCTTTTTCTTTCTAATGCTAAGCCTCCTAGAGCACTTACCTCTTTCATCTACGTGCATGTCACACGTATATTTTTTTTAATCCTCACCCAAGGATATTTTTTCCCTTTTATTTTTAGATATAGGGGGAGGGAAGGAGGGGGAGGGGGGAGAGAGGGCGAGAGACAGAGAGAGAGAAAGAGAAACATTGATGTGAGAGACACATTGATTGGTTGCCTCCTGCATGACCCCGACCAGGGCTGGGGACGAACCGCAACCGAGGTATGTGCCCTTGGCCAGAATCGAACCCATGACTCTTTGGTCCATGGGCCGGCGCTCTAACCGCTGAGCCAAACCAGCCAGGGCCGTGTCACACTTTTATAAACATAAGAACAAGAGGCCCTGGCTGGGTAGCTCAGTTGGTTGGAGCATTGTCCCATACACCAAAAAGTTGCAGGTTCAACCTCTGTTTGGGGCACGTATGGGAGGCAACCGATCAATGTTTCTCTCTCACATCGATGTTTCTCTCTCTTTCTCAAAAAGGTCAAATCCTCGGGAGAGGATTAAAAAAAAAAAGACAATGAATCCATCTATAGGAAAAACCCTGTTAACAAGTAAAACAACACAAATGAGAGACAGAGAGCATTCCTTAGTAAAGCCTTGTTAAATATTTTATTTGCTCAGAGGAGTATGGTAATAAGAAAGGGGGCGGTTTGTTAGATAAACTCATAGATGGTTGCTAATAAAAATGTGCCTAAAGAAAGAAATGAGATAAGTCGCCTATAAGGCTGATGCTGAGATTAGCCATCACACGTGACAAGCACTTGGCAGAGTTTATTTACTGACGCTGTATAGCATGTGCCAGGTGCTAAGGGTTCACAAATATTACCTCATTAATCTCACGACAACCACATGAGGTAGGTATTGATGCTATCTGTATTTAATAAATGGAAAAAGGAGGCACGGAGAGGTTAAGCTACTTGCCCAAAGTCACATAGCTCCTAAGTAGCTGAGCTGGGATTTGAACTCAGGAAGCTGGCTCCACAGTCTCAGTTTCCATCGCTCTACTGCCTGACTCTCAGCATATGCTTGGTACCTACTGGCTGCTATTGCGAATAACTTCATTAAGGGGCTTTTAAAAGTCCATCTTGATTCAGACTCAAATACCTGGAGGCCCAGGATGGCCCTTGGTCCTTCCTGCAACTCCCAGCCCCGGTCAGGCAACATGCTGAGTGCTCGTGAGTGTTTAATGATTTGAACTGAATTTGGAAGCTGGGAGCTGGTGAACCCCACAGGTGGTCCAGAGCCAGCTAAGACCTCACAGGGGCTGAACTAGGTCCTGGCTCTGGGGGGACACCAAGCCCCTGATCTCCCACACCTTACACATACAGCTTCTGCAGCTCCATCCTTCCCCTGGCTCAGGTTCAAAACCTTGGAGTCCCTCTTGACGTCTATTTTTTACATCCCACATACAAGCCGCCAGCAAGTTCTTCACAAGATTCCAGAACCTGACACTTCTCAGTCCCTCCACTGCTCCCACCCTGGTCTCAGCCCATCGTCCCTTGTCTGGATTGGGCAGTAGCCCCATAAGTCTCCCTGCTTCTGTCCCTAGCCTATTCTCCACATAGTAGCCCCACGGCCCCTTGTAATACATAAGTCAGATCATGTCCTTCCTCTTGTTTCCTCGGAGTAAAAGGCCAAGTCCTCTTAGTGACCGACAAAGCCCCACAGGGTCCTGATGCTGTTTGCTCTCTTATTTCACTCCTCTCCCTTCTGTTCTCTGCTCCAGCCACACTGGCCGCTTTGCTGTTCCTTAAATACCCCAGGCACGTTCCCACCTCAGGGCCTTTGCACTGGCTGTTTCCTGTACTGTGTTCTTTGCCCTAGATGATAAGTTCCCTCACCTCCTTCACATCTTGGCTCAAACATCACCTTCTCAAAGAGGCCTTCCCTGATCACCACATGTAACAATTACAGTCCTGCCCCACTCCTCAGCTCTGCACTCCTTTATTTTTCCAGCACTAATCTGACATCATAAACTCTATGTACTTGTTTCTTGTGTTTATTTCCACTAGAGCAGAATCTCCACTAAGGGCAGGGTTTTGCCTGTTGTAGTCATTGCTGTATCACCAGGGCCTAGAACAGTGCCTGGTGCATAGTAAGCACTCAATAAAGGATTGTTGAATGAATGAGTGAATGAATACATAATAACAATAGTTCTAGTGGGCTAGCAGTAGCAGCCCCCATTTATTGAGCATGTACTGTGAGAAGGCCCTTTACCAGGTCATCTCAGCAACCAAGAGGGCCGGGCCAGGCGGGGGCGAGGGATGAAGGTGCAACTATCCTGCGGTTCCTAGGAAACCAGTGGCCACGTGGTTCAGGCCTAAAGGTTGGGCTTGAAGCCAAAGGGCTGTGGCCTGGAAGGAGCAAGGAGAGAGCTGATGCTGGTCCTGTCCCCCCAGAGGAAGAATCATCTCCCATTTACTGAGCATCTGCTGTGTTCCAGGCTTGGGGCAAAATGCTTTAAGTGCACTAGCTCATTTAATCCTCTGGTGGCCTGTGAGCTGGGCACCACGGCTCAAAGAGGTGAAGTAACTTGCCCCAGGACCCTCAGCTTGCAAGTGGAGAACTGGGGTTTGAACCCAAGTCTACATGGTTCCAAAATTTCTCCATGTACATGGACCTATTTGAGGTTTTTCTCTGAAGACCTGGGCAAACCTGTTTGCCAACAAGTCCTTTTCCCCAGACCTGCTGAACTGCCACCCACGTCTCCAGGAAGCCCTCCGGGCTGCTCCTTTCTGTGCACTTCCAGCCGCTCCACGCACCTCTCCAGGGCAATTGACCGTATGTCGGAGATGATGACTTCCACATCTGTCCCCCCACTGGCCCGAGTCTCTTCAGGCAAGGACTGTGTCTCAGTCCTATCTAGGAACACAGTGCTTGGCACACAGAAGGGGCACAATATTTATCTCTGGAATTATAAGGAGTCAGAACTATGTCATCAGTGTCTCCTACGTGCTGGGCCCCGTGCCAGGCATTCATTCAAAGGACATGGATGTGTCCCATTCATGCTGTGAACCTGTGCAGGGAATGCCCAGATGAACACTCGCAGGCCCAGCCTTCAAGGAGTTCATGTCTAGCAGAGGAAGTGGTATTAACACCCATATCTTGAGGGCTTCATTCAAAGAGTGTTTCCTGAGCACTTACTATATGCCTAGCCCTGTGCTAGATACTATGTACCAATGATCTGATGTCACTGAAGGTAGAGATTACTGTTCTCATCACTGCTATTGTTAAGGTGACTCAGAGAAGTTAAATAGCTTACCTCAAGTCACACCGCCAACAAGTGAAGCCCCGACCTGACAGCAATGACTTCAACAAATGGACAATGGAAGTTTGTTGCATGAAATCTCAGTGTATGTATCAGTTACCCATTATTAATCTATCGTAATTATACAAATAACAACAGAGCCCTAGTGACTGTCTCCTTTAGGTTGTACTCGTCACATATATCATTTTGTTTAGTCTATGCCACACCCCTATGAAATACGGGGTGGGGTAAAAGTAGGTGTACAGCTGTGATTATGTGAAACAGTTTGTGCATTGTTATTTATTAATGATTGTACCGTTTACCTTACAACTGTAAATCTACTTTTGCCAACCCCTGTAAGTGCATTTATAACCCATTTTGCAGGAGAGGAAACTGAGGCAAGAAGTGAAATCACTTGGCCAAGGTCGGTAGCTAAGAAAGGGGCTCACACCAGGCCAGTCTCTGGCAAACCCTGTGCCAGGAGCCAGGGCAGGCTGGCCAGGGGACGGGTGTGTAGGGCAGGGCTCACGCCCCTTGGCAGTGCTCGGGGGCTTCAAGGGCACTGCTCCCGCCCTGGGACCTGGGCCAGCTCTGCAGACAGAGCCCCAGCCTTGCCCAGGGAAAGCTGGGGGTCAGCGCTGGGGGCCCTCTTTCTCCTCCACAGGGGCAGCGGATGACGGGGGCTGTGAGCTGAACGGCCGCGTGTTCCGGGACGGGGAGACCTTCCAGCCCCACTGCAGGATCCGCTGCCGCTGCGAGGACGGCGGCTTCACCTGCGTGCCCCTGTGCAGCGAGGACGTCCGGCTGCCCAGCTGGGACTGCCCCCGCCCCAGGAGGGCTGAGGTGCCCGGCAGGTGCTGCCCTGAGTGGGTGTGCGACCAGGCAGGGGGCTTGGCGGCCCAGCCTCTCCTCGGCCAAGGTGAGTGCGGAGCTGGCCCAGGCAGGGGCGGGGTCACCTGGAGGGGCGGGCCCTCCGAGGTGCAGACTCCTGGGCGCATCAGAGGGAAGGTTTTCCGGGCAGAAGCAGGGAGGGGGCGGGGCTGAGGAGCCGAGTCGGAAAGTGTAGAGAATCACAGGCCTCTTTAAAACTGACAAAACAAGAAGTAGTGGTGTCCTTTTAAGCATGTCCTTTTAAATCATAAATAAGTAAAAGTCAAAATTGGTGGCAGAGTGAAGAAGGGGAAGGAACGTTAGACTACTCGAACCAAATTCTCACATTTCATCGCAAAGTGTACTATTACAATATGTGTTATTATTATACTTATATTGATACATATTACTAATATGTTTATATAACAACAAATATGCGTAAAATATAATATGATATATTATTATTTGGGCTTATCAAGAGAGGAACAAATTCAAAACTGAACGTAGTTACATGGTTGCCTCTGGGACGTGGGCCTAGGGGTGGGAAGAGGTGGAGAAAAGACAGTTACCTCCTGCTAGAAACACTTAGTTTTAGAGACATTGTTGTTGACATGTTGTGGGTTTTAAAAAATTATTACTCTATGAATGTGATTTTTTTTACAAAACGAAACTGAAAAGAGAGCGTTGCTTCCGTAGATGACGCAGTAGAGCGTGGTGGGTTAAACTTGAAGTCGGCCCAGGATTCTAAGGCCGGTTCTACCACGTCTAGCTGTGTGATTCTGAGAACATCGCCTAACCTCTCTGTGTCTCAGGCCCTTCAACTGTAAAATAAGAGCATCCATCTCATAGAGTTATTGCAAGGACTGGATAAGGTTATCCAAGTAAAGCAGTTATGACAGTCCCTGGCGCACAGCACGCCACTGGTAGGAACTGTTATCCCTAGTGGGGACTGTGACACATTGTTTAAATCCATAGCAGAATGGATTGGAATTTAAAAATGCAATCGCCTTATGTGTAAAAAGCAGGATAGGACACCATGTATGCAATTTTATCTATATTATGTGTGTGCATGTGTGTGTGTGTGTGTGTGCAAGTATATGTACACGTACACATCATATGTGCTGCACACATGTGCATATTACACAGGGTTTCTCAACCTCGGTACTATTGACATTTGGGCCGGGTAATTCTTCACTGAGGGGCCGTCGTGTGCATCATAGGATGTTTAGCAGCAACCCTGGTCTCTACCCACTAGATCCCAGTAGCAACCTCCCTCAATCGTGACAACCAAGAATGTGTCCAGACACTGCCAAGTGATCCCTGGAGGACAAAATCGTCCCTGGCTGAGAATCACTCATATAAAGAACCAGAGGGAAGGACAGCAAAATATTAGCAGAGAAGAACAGGAGTTGGGAAGGAGGAAAAGCTAGACCCTCGTGAACCTGCCATTCTGTTCCAGGCTGCAGCCTCCTTGTAAAATGAGACACCCACCGACTGCTGGGGCAGGGTCATGTCAGCGCCATCAGAGCTGCGCAATAACCGCAATATGTTAAGTACTTCGCCTCCTCCATTATTGTCTTCAGTCCTAACAATCAACTGTTAGGATATTTACACAAGAAGAAACAGGTTCAGCGAGGTGACGCAACATGACCAAGATTGTAACACAACCCAGTGGGTTGATTTGGCTGCCAAGTGCTGACCCTTCTTTCTTCCCCCCCAGGACTCCAACCTTCTGGCCTTGTTGCTCCCCCTGTTCCTGCGGTCCCTTGCCCAGAATGGAGCACAGCTTGGGGCCCTTGCTCGACCACCTGTGGACTAGGTGTGACTAGCCGGGTATCCAACCAGAATCCCTTCTGCCGACTGGAGACGCAGCGCCGCCTGTGCCTGCCTGGGCCCTGCCCACCTGCCAGGGGCCACCACCCACCACGCAGTTCCTTTTAGAGCCGGGCCCAGCAGGCAGTCCAGCTCCGGTCTGCCACCTGGGCCCTGGAGGACAAGAATGGTCCCAAGGGCCTGGTCCGTGTGGACCGAGGCAGAGCAGGGATGCATGCATTAGTCCTGTTCTCTCTAACTCCCAGCCTGGGGCGGACCAGATTTCTAGGGTCTCCTGGTCCATTCCAGTCTCCACACAGCCTTTATCAAACATGCGCGTGGGCTAGCTTCCCAGGAGATGGGGCAGCCATCTCTCCTTAACCATTAGGCTCAGGCAGGTACTGGGCTGGACTGGGTATTTTTCTGGGGGTGTGGTGAAGAGGGGCACAGACCTGAATCTCCTGCATCCTTTGCTGTGGCAATGTAAAAACAGCCCTGAACACGTGCCTATGCGTTACCTTGGGTGTCAGGCGAGGTCTGAGAAAACCCTCCCCACCCTGGGCAGAATTCCGGGGCTGAGTGCTTTGTGAAAATCACAAGATGAAATCACTTCTTGAAGAAAGTCAGAAAACAGGCCTTCACGTGATCTGTTAAACTCCACTTTTAGAAGTAAGAATTACCCTTTTTTGAGCACCTGCAATGTGCCCGGCACTGAGCTGGACACTTTATAGAGATCAGTGCTTTGCAGTATTTTGGACTCGGAAAAGCAGGGGAGAATGTCCTCTGGGGACTGGGGAACATGGTCTGAAATAAACGAGCCCACGTGTGAAGTTCTATTCGAAGTCTCATGTTTTATTATTTAAAGAAAACCTTTCCTATAAATTTATATCCTCCTCCTCTGTGACCTACTGTGTTTGTTTAAAAATAAAAACTGTGTTTTCTTCACGATTCAGTGAGGAAAGTAGAAAACACACAGTTAAACCCACAGGTCTTAAGCGTACGGTTGAACTTGTCTTTATAATGTTTTCACCTATGTGGTGCACACCTCAATCAAGGTATAAAATATTTCCACCATCTCAGAAAGTGTCCTCTGGCTCCTTCCTGCTCATCCCCTCCACTCCTGAGACCTGGTTAGAAATGCAGACACCTTGTGGCCCGTTCCAGACTCATAGAAACCCTGAGGGTGGAGCCCACAAGTCTGTGTTTTAATAAACCCTCCACCTCGCCCTGGCCGGTTTGGCTCAGCGGTTGGAGCGTCGGCCTGCGGTCCGGAGAGACCCGGGTTCGGTTCCCGCTAAGGGCACGTACTTCGGTTGCAGTTTGTCCCCGGCCCTGGTTGGTCGTGTGGTGGCAGCCACTCGATGTGTCCCTTCACGTCGATGTTTCTCTCACTCTCTCTCTCTTCCTCTCTCTCCCTCCCACTCTATCTGTACAAAAAATGGAAAAATGTCCTCGGGTGAGGATAAAAAAAATAAAAATAAAAATAAACCCTCCACCTCATTAAAATCTATGTCAGACTAATTGTGGTTTCAGACAAGAGACTGAAGGAAACGGCGGGGTGCTGCTGCCCCCTTGTGGCAGTTCAGTGCATGAACGCAGAGAGGCCTCCGGTGGGGAGGAGCCCTCAGACTCGGGGGTCCAGCTGCCTCCTCCTGTGTCCAAGGTGGAGACGCTGAGTCTCGGCGAAGGGAGGCACTTTGCCCAGGGTCTCAGAGTTAGGCAGTGATAGAACTAGATATAGAATTCTTTCCTATTTGTGACCAATGCAGCAGCTTTCTTTTCTCAAAATATTACTTAAACAGATGCCCGCAAGGGCCCCTGCTGGGCCCTGAGCCAGGGCGCCTCCATCTGTCCCCTGGCTGACTCCCTGGTCCCTCTGCCCACAGTCCAGCTCCCTCCTCCCATCGGTCCCACTGCGCAGCCAGAAGGATCTTTCTAGAGCACAATTATGGTTATGTCACTCTGCCTGAACCCCACCGAGGCTCAGCTTTGCCCTCTGGGTTCAGTCCAGACTCCTTCCATGACTCACAGGCCTGCTGTGCCTTCCAGAGTCTTCTGTTCTCCAGCCACACTGTCCAGCTCAGAGGGCTGCCCACTCCGGGCCAGGCCTTTCCCCAAGCTGGGCCTTCTGCCTCGGACACTCTTTCCCCACGGCCTGGGAGACCCCTGATCATTCTGCATTAGTCACACTTTCCATGCAACCTGAGGCCGGCCCTCCCCAGTGCCTGGGCTCCCATCCCCTCACCTGCCTGGGTGCCTACCCCTGCCACATCTTCCATTTCTCCCTTTCTTCCAGATCATTCCCATGGATATACACACATACTGGTCCTTTATCTACTGCTGTAACGGGTGCAGCCCACCAGCCCATGCCCATCCTGGCTACTCTGGGAATAAGAGGTGGAGTGCCCTCTTCATGGGACAACTCCAGCAGCCCCACTGGGGGTACCTGAGAAAGTAAGACCATATGGCCACCGTCTGTGATGTGCCATCAAAAAATCCACCTGGCACTCCATGGCTGAAATGTGGTCTGGGGTCTGGGGCACATTCTCAGCAACGAGGTGGTGATTTAGCTAATTCCTGAGAACTCATCTTTTCCCTCTTCTACCGCAGTTGGTTATAATATTGGGAGAGCCCAAGGGCAAGAGCATAGGATACCGTGAGGTTGGCCAAGAAGCCTAGTTGTAAGGGGCCCTTACACTGGTTTGTTTCTTGTCCATGGCCCATCCACTGGTTTCTGGTCCCTCGCCATTAGCTTTCATAAATATGTTTCCAATCCCATCACTGGGCTGGGCCTTTCCGTCCACTCTCTGTTGGGTGGCAACACTTCGCAGGAGCTTCTTCAGGGCTTCTCTCCAGCCGTGAAGCCAGCAGGCAGCAAACACAAGCGGTGGATTTTGACTTTCATGCCCTTCTCACCTCAAGGACTGGACCCCATGTTCTGATTACCCTCCTGCATCCTTCCGTCTCTGAGACTTCCCATTCCTGTCCTGTCCCCCTCTCTTCCTCTCTGGATTCCTGCCTGCTCTGTGCTCCATTCTCAATCCCTTTAAAGTCTAAGGTTTTAGAACCTTGTGACAGCCACACTACCTCCACTATTCCAGGGTCGCACTGTGACCCCTGTGCAATGTAATGTCCCCCTGGATCCTTTCGCCAGCTCAGTCAGATTTCTCAGGCACTTGAATTTTATCTCCAAAAGAAATACAAATGTATTTTAAAATTTCATGCCAACAATCACATCTGTAATGTTTCCTTAATCATTGTGGGGTTTGAGCTGCTGGATCCAGCCATGCCTGAAGCCATGAATTCCTATTTGTTTTTTAGTTACATGACTCAATAAATTCTCTTTATTACTTAAACTAGTTGGAGTTGGGTTCCTATCGCTTGAACTAAAAGAGTCCCAAAAAATATAACTGTACACAGTGATGTAATTACCTGTCCATTCTTGGCTTTTATGTTGGGCTTTGCACCCTGGAAGTTGAGTGGGTCTGTGGTTCGTTCCTATGTTCCTGAAGCCCAGCACAGGACCCAGTACATGGTAGGTATTTACTACATGCCTGCTGAATGGTGACTGAGGCCCGGGTTCCAGCCTTGACTCTGCCTCTAGTTTGTAACCTTGAGCATCTGATTCTCCCTTCCGAGCCCAGGTTCCTACTCTGCACAGTGGAGATGATCCTCTTTGCCCTGCCCTGCTTGAGAGCTGTGGTGAGGGCCAGATGAGCCCCAGCTTAGGAAAGTACTTGGCCAACGCTCAAGTTCCGCATGCACAGGAACTATAATTATATTTTCAAGGGTGTACATTTTGTCCTAATGTCATCAGCCACCCCCCAACAGACTGTGGGTTCTTGGGGGCACAAGCAGACAGCATGTTGGAACAGCAGAAAGACCTGAGAAGAGTCGCTTCAGCTGCCCAGCACTGCCTCCATGCACCACCGGACTGCGTCTGATGAACTGAGCCAGATGATGGGTCCCTGGTGGCCCGCACCTGCCTCCTGCTAGAACTCAGTAAGACAAGGGGTCTGGGTGTCTCCTTAAATTTGAGTCATTGCAAATGGCGTGATAATGGGGCAGAGGCTGGATGATTGCTCTCTAAACTATCTCCTTTCTCCTGGGCACCCAGAGAGAGACCACATCTCTCAGCCAGGTGACTGAGGTCTGGCCAGGGGACATGACTCCAGATCTGGACCATCAACACCCCTCACAACCCTCTGTATTCACTCTCTGCCCTCATCCACTGGTCCCCTGCAGAGGGCCCCATGGGGGACTCCAAGGTTTTCCAACATGATTCTTAACTTTTCTTTCTCGCTCTCTCTTTTTTTAAAAAATATGTTTATTATTGATATTAGAGAGAGAGGAAGGGAGAGAGAGAAAGAGAAACATGGGTCGGCCGCCTCCTGCACGCCCCCCACTAGGGACTGAGCCCGAAACCCGGATATGTGCCCTGCCCGGGAATTGAACCGGTGACCTTTCATGCATGGGACAATGCTCAACCAACTTTCAAGTCTCAGGAATCCCTGAAATCCATCCACAGATCCCTTGGGGATCTGTTTTCTCTGGGATAAGAATCTCTGCTTTAGGGCATGACAAAGCCACGAGAAAGAAGGAGCCTGGGTCCTTAGGTGACCACACAGAGCAGAGGCCCCTCCAACACTTCCTCAAACCAGAGGAAAAGACTATAGTAAGTCCTCACCTAACATCGTGGGTAGGTTCTTGGAAACTTCCAATTTAAGCGAGATGACAAAACCAATTAGACCGCAAGTTCATGGACAGAAACAGGAGTTAAGTTCCTACAGCATATTTCGGGTCACAAAAACCTCACCAAACACTTCTGCTGTTAAACATTGAAATAGATGTGAGCTAAACATACCTTTAAGAAACACGAGTCAGCCCTGGCCGGTTTGGCTCAGCGGTTAGAGCGTCGGCCTGCGGTCCAGAGAGTCCCGGGTTCGGTTCCCGCTAAGGGCATGTACCTCGGTTGCAGTTTGTCCCCGGCCCTGGTTGGTTGTGTGGGTGGCGACCACTCGATGTGTCCCTTTCACATCGATGTTTCTCTCTCTCTCTGTTCCTCTCTCTCCCTCCAACTCTACCTGAACAAAAAAAAGGAAAAATGTCCTTGGTGAGGATGATTTAAAAAAAAAAA